TGTCCCCCCCCCCCCCCCTCCCCCAGACAGGCTTTTGCATAGCTCCTCGTAATTGCTGTTAGGTTTCTTAAAATGGAGCTTGGATTTTAAAAGAATCTAATTAACAGTTGAATTTTATACCTATAAGTGTTTTAGTGACTAGAATGGTTAACTTCTCTACTGATCTCAAGACTAAGAAGTTCTTCTTCTAAGAGTTGTCTGTTCTTCTATGTGTCTAATAAAAAAATTGCATACCTCTAAAAGTAATTTGAGAGGTCATTTTTGTATCATCAACAAGAATCCCAAATGAACCAGGGGAATTTTAAATATTTATGTGTGTGCACATGTTTCTGAGCTTTTCAGCTGCACTTTGCTGCACCCACTGTAGGAAGCTGAAGTCCTTTATAAAAAAATGTTGGTTTAGTAAAGCTTACTTCTGCAGCTTCCATATATCAGGTTTTGTCAGTAATGTTCTATGTATTAGTTGTTCTTACGAAGGTACAGCGTGGTAGCCAAATATGTTGGTGGGATACGATGAACGTGGAATTCTTAATTTCTTAGTTTTCTCCTCCATATTCTCTTTTAATTTTATTTAAACAGGTAACTTGCTCTTAATGCAGTGAGGCATTCACACGTGCTTGTATGAATGGCCTAAATTTAAATGAACTGAGTTCTTGTAAGTGTTATTGGAGTAGCTCATGGGAAAGTTGGTGCAGTGTTAAGATAGTTAACTTCCACCAAAGTTTTGAACCATTCTTTTGTGCACATTGTGTTGTCAAGCCTATGAAGTGAAAGTCCATAGGAAGAGTGTCTGCAGCAAACAAGTATTTTCAGTTGCTAAAAATCTTGTAATTTCAACGCTCTATTTCCTTTAAAATGTCTAGGAGGCAGAGAAAGGTGTGAAGTTCCTAACATTGCCACCAGTATTACACTTACAGCTCATGAGATTTATGTACGATCCTCAGACTGACCAAAACATCAAAATAAATGATAGGTAAGTGTTTTGTTTTGGTTTTCATTGTAGAATTTGGACATGTGAATGTATTTTACCAAAAATAATTTGCCAAAATCCTATTTTTGATTCAACTCCAAGAGGAAGGTGTGTGCAGTCATACATGGTGGAGATCCCCAAAAGGTGCATAGATTGAATGTTAAGGTTCTGAATGACAAATTGAATATTTAAATAGTCATTTGTAGGTGTTGTTTTGAATATGAAACAAGTGAATGCATCTTTTAATGCTTTGTGGAACATTCTTTTTGCCGTATGTGGAAAGTCGGTACGTTCCTATAGGCTGCCACAACAGTAATCGGGACAAATAAGTAGTCCTCTGCTTTCCCTCTATTTCCATGCCACTCACTGTAAGTAGTGGCTGATCATTTCTCAACGAGATACGCTGTAGGTTGTAAACTAAATCTGTATTGCAACAACTTCAGTCCCACCAAGAAGGGGACACTGCAGCAGCTGAAAGACATTTCAGAATAATGTTCTAGTCCGATGGCATCTGTGCTTGAAAAGCTGTATTTGTATACTAGAAAATAACAGGTTTTGAGCTTTTCCCTTGACATAGTGAATCCAAAACAGCACTATTTCAGTTCAAGTGCTCTCACTCTTGTTACTGAGGGCATACTTTTTCAGAGGTGCTTATGAAGATTATTTTTATTCCATATTAAAACAGTATAAAGTCTGCCACTGTATGCAGTATACCCTGGATAAAAATGGCATTGTAACAGTAACTTGTTCAATTTTTGTAACTTACTTTAGGAGTAAGTACTGATGTCCTGCATGATAGCATGTGTCTGTCTGAGCTACGAATACAACTGACTTAATTATTTTCAAAACTAGGTTTGAGTTTCCTGAACAGTTGCCACTAGATGAATTTTTGCAAAAAACAGATCCTAAAGACCCTGCGAATTACATTCTTCATGCAGTTCTAGTACACAGTGGAGATAACCATGGTGGACATTATGTTGTTTACTTAAATCCAAAGGGGGATGGCAAAGTGAGTATTGAAAAGCACCTAAACATGTTTGTGTTTTGCAAATACATACTTGCAGTTTTTGTAATGGGCAAATCTTTGGGATTTTTGTTCCCTAACACAAGAGCATGCTGGCACACTCACTTCATCACACAGGGATTTGACTTCTCCTTGTAGTTCTTAGCTTGGTACTCTTTGATTTAGTGCCTATTCTAATGTATCTGGGAAACTTACTTTGTATTTAAAAAAAGAAAAACCAGCAGCCTTTGTGTCTAGTTTTTGCTTTTCAGGGAGGAGCCTGCATTTGGAGGCATTAAAGAATCACGTGCCTTCTTAAGAGGAGCAACTTCATCCTTGTTGTTGGCTTTTGGCAAAAGACTTTTACTAAGGGAATCACTTCAGTTGTGTGTGTATATGTGTTGAAGTTCTACTGCAATCAAATTTTATCCGGCATTTTTTTTTAGGCTGACTTTATGCTGAAGCAAATATGAAAATTTCAAATGTTTCTGTGACTAAAAGTTCAGTATCTTTGCATGTGCCACTGTTACAGGTTTAGGTGACTTGATTGGATTGGATGTTTGTAGGTCAGATGCCTCTTCCCTTGAGTTGACTGGTTTTGTGTGTACGTGACTGTTCACAGTAAAAGTAGAAGTGAGATTTTGCTGTGAATTTGTTGCTATTTGTCTTTCATTCTTAATTTGCTTTATTGTTTTAATTTAAAATTTGCTGTAAATTACTTTAAATGTACAAATAATTACTAGATATCTCGTGCATCACTGCTTTTTGTTTTATTTTACAATAAATAAGATCAATTTTCTGATTCATATAGAAATGTTAGATATTTGGGTAACAATCCTAAGAAAAAGTTTTTTGAATAATTATTGGGCTTTTGATATTAAGTGTAAAATGTTCAAATATTTCAGTAAAGGTTTGGTATTTATGGCCTTCTTTATGCTGAGTGCAAGTAGCAGGTAGCACAAATTATACTGAACTAGATTTTTTTTTTTTTTAAACTCATGCTGCCTGAAGACCAGTTTTAGTTACTTCGAAGAACTGAAAGACATGCCAGAAATAGGAATAATTTATCATTCAGGAACATGTTTTTGTGTGTAAAATTATATTTATATTAAATTTTCTCTCTAGTGGTGTAAATTTGATGACGATGTTGTATCAAGATGTACAAAGGAAGAAGCGATTGAACACAATTATGGAGGTCATGATGATGACTTATCTGTACGACACTGTACGAATGCATACATGTTGGTTTACATCAGGGAATCAAAATTAAGTATGTATACTCTGTGTGTGTTCCAAGTTAAATTTATATACAGGGATTTAGGGCTATATTTTACTTCTAAATTGTTGACAGTCTTCCTATAGAAAGGGGCTTCGTTAGTTATAGTTGGAATTTATAGATTCCGTGGGATCAACCAGCCTTTCTCTCACTTCTGGAAAGTACGTGCTAATCTAGTGTCATCTTTGCTTAGCACAGTAAGGCAAGACTGCGTATCCGCAAAGTGCTTCAGACTTGATTGTTTTGTAGGATAGAAAAATTAGTGGACTAACTTCAGTGATGGAAACTAAATCCAATTGATTATAAATATGTAGATATAAGTATACAAAAAAAAATTAATAGTAAATATTTTTTTAATCCTGAAATGAATATTTAATTCAGAAGTCTATGATACATATTTCATGGAAGTAGTGCATTTTGGCTTGGGATAGAAAATGTTTCTTTTGCCAAAACATGATGATATCAAACTATGTTTTTAATTAAAAGATGAAAAAAGCTGGGTTTGACTTCAAATCAGAGGAAAGTCAAGTGTGTATGAAGAAAACCCTGTTTGATGTAAATCTTGAAATGACATCACAAAAACTGCTTTGTAGGTGAAGTTTTGCAGCCTGTCACGGACCATGATATTCCTCAACAACTTGTAGAAAGGCTACAAGAAGAGAAAAGGATAGAAGCTCAGAAGAGGAAGGAGAGACAGGAAGCTCACCTCTATATGCAAGTGCAGGTCAGCTTTTGAAACAGATCAAGTTCCAACTACCACTACCATTAAAATTCAGAATGTTGAGCCACCTAAGACAAACCTTGATTTTTTTGTTTTTTGTTTTTAACTTACTTACACACTTGGAAGCAGTGTTTGAAAGGAAATTATTGTTTTAGTGCTTGTAAGTGTATTTACATATGCGACAAACCCTAATGAAACAAACAGTACTATATGTTATAGACGTATCTGTTTTCTGTAGAAGTTGTGTGCTTACAAGTAAAAATAGTAAGTGCAGGTGAAAAGAGAAGGACCAGGTTATTTTACATGGCCACTCTGCCACCTCACTTTTATCTCCTTCAGGAATTAGTTTCTAAAATTAGAATGTATCTAGCCATAGGCTGCAAGCCTGGACTACTGCCAAACTGAACTCATCAAGTAGAAGCAGAAGGAGAGAGTGCTTATATTTGCAATTATCTTTTTGGAAAAGCCAGATGGACTAGATTGTTATGAATTGCCTTAAGGAACCTGTTTATGGCTCTTTCCAGAGCCCATCTGGCACAGGAAGATAGAACCCATTTTCCATTTGCCTCCATGTTTCCTTGCATCTTCTTTCTGGTGTTCATAAGTAGAGATATCAGTGAAATTTAGCTTGTTATACACTGCATTTACATTAGAGCTGTTTTCAGTGGAGAAACTGGCAGAGTTGCACTGTTTTGTTGTTCTGTTAACAAAGAATGCATGGGAGCTGTGGCAGACACAGAAAAGATTTTTAGGCCAGCCTCCTTGCATTACACCACTAAAATAATTATGTAACCTTTTTTTAAGTGCCGAGATTGTTAGAACACATGCTTCCAAGATTCGGATCTAAGTGCAAATGGTTTTTTAATTGTTCACGATTTGTAAGAATTAGTGTATTTTAATTACTTACACTATCAATCACAATTTTAAAATTTCATTATAATCTGTATACTTGCAGATTTTCTTCATGAGAACACAAATAGTGTTAGCAGTGTGCCACTATCCAGAGAGTTGGTGACGTTGCATAGTAAAGCATCATGAGAAGGTATACATTGTGCAGCTGAGTGAATATGAATAGTAATCTTTAAATGTAATTTTTCAGATAGTGGCAGAGGATCAGTTCTGTGGTCACCAAGGCAATGATATGTATGATGAAGAAAAAGTGAAATACACTGTTTTCAAAGTATTAAAAAACTCCACGCTTACAGAATTTGTTCAAAATCTCTCTCAAACGATGGTAAGTTTTCTGTAGCTGAATATCTGTATTTATTTTATTACATTATGGTTGCTTCATAGTCTGTCTTCTCCAGGTATTGGCAGCAGTCATAATTTAGACCTTTTAAAACAGAAGATCTCTTTGGGTTTAGTAAAAGTATCTTAGCATTTTTTTTTAATGTTGTTGTTTCCTGTCAAAATTTTTACTTTAGGGATTTCCCCAGGATCAAATCAGATTATGGCCAATGCAAGCTAGAAGTAATGGAACAAAAAGACCTGCAATGTTAGATAATGAAGCAGATGGCAATAAAACGGTAAATACTCATTGATAAAGGGCATTATTTCTGTACATCACCCGTGTTTTTTAGTTCTCTTTAAGAATCTGTAAGTTTGGGACATCAGAATTTTCCGGGTTTTAATCTGTATCTGGTAAAGTTTGGTACTTGAGAAGACTTGAGATTTAGTGGATTGATTGGGATAGGAGGGAGGAGTGTGGTGCATGATCTTTCTTCCATGAAAAAAAGTATTATCATTATTTTTATATTATATTTCAAACAGTAATATCTTTTTGAGTCCTCCATTATTTGGGCAAAACTCTGGAGGAAATGTGTTGCTTAAAATCTAAAACGTTTTGTGTAAATAGCACAGAAAACAGTGAGTGGTTTCACTGACCTGTTACTTATAAAGTGATTTTCTTGCCATAATAATGATAGCTGTTGGTATATTTTTTAAATGAAAAAGAAATAGGTCCATTTTAAATAAACCCTATAATTTTGCTTCATTAAAACTTTTTTAGTGTTTTTATATCCATCATTGTTTCTCTTAATAAACTTCATAAACTTCCTGTCATTAAAACAACTAAAAAAAAAATAGTTCTCCCACTCCTAGGATGTCATAAAGTTCTTGTATCTGATGAAAATGCAGATATCAGGTTATATTATATTCTCCAGAGACTTTTTTTCTTCTTCTGCATCTTTCTATGTAGATGATTGAGCTCAGTGACAATGAAAATCCATGGACAATATTTTTGGAGACGGTAGATCCAGAGATGGCTGCTACTGGAGCAACATTACCCAAGTTTGATAAAGATCGTAAGCATATATGCTAAAACTTGAGTAAATACAAAATACTTTTATTTTGGGTATATCTCAGAAAACATTGTGCGCTCCTTTTTTCAATGGTGGCGTTGATGTGCCCATCAAACTACAGTGCAGAAGTCAGTTTCTCATACAGTTTTTCCCTCGTTTCTCTTCATGTAAGACGTTTCGCATGTTTTTAGAATCACTGAATAGATTTTTATGTATATATAAAGTTGATTTGTAAAAATTCAGTGTTTAAGGCTATTTTAAGGGCATTAATCAAATTAATAAATCAAAGACACATCTTTGTTAAGGTGATTCTCCTCCCTCCCCACCGCAAATAAGCCTTACTTAAAATTAAATCTTGTTTATTAATTGTAGATGATGTAATGTTGTTTCTGAAGATGTATGATCCGAAGACTCGGAGTTTGAATTATTGTGGACATATCTACACACCTATATCCTGTAAAATACGTGAGTTCTAAAGTTCCATTTCATTGTTATAATTGAAATTTTTTAAAGACAATAGATTGCATATCTTTTTTCATACTAATTTTATCGTTGAAAGCAAATATAGGTCAAAGAAAGAAATTCTGATTTCTCCCAACCCTGGATAGTTTTCTTCCCCATGTTGTGTCAGTGAAACTTTCTGCAAGGCTGAGGATGTTGCCTAAATACACCATTGGCTGTCAGTTTATTTTTTGTTACAGGTTTCCTGTATTCACCAGGTGTTTCTGAACATACACAGCTGTTTCAGACTTGCTGTAAAGCTTTGTGATTTGATACTGCTCTCCAGTCTGGTTTTTTTCATTCTATTTCAAGGTTTTTTTGTGGCGTGTACTTCTGCAATAGCTTTATTTTAGCTGTCCTAATTTTTTTTTTAAAAGAGATTACAATTTTTCTCTTGGGAAGGTACCACATTATTTCATTTCTTTAATCTTGGATGGCCTTGCACATGTTTTTGTTGTTGTTCAGATGAAGTGGAAGGAAACCTTAAAGTCTGTCTCTGGGTTGAATGTCAATAAGGGAAGCTAACCTGGAAGGCTCTCTTTCTTAGGCATTTTAAAACTGTTTATCCAGGGTAGAAAAATAAGTTATCTCCTTTTTGCAGGAGGTCTCAGTAGCAGTTAAAGTGCAATGCGTTTCACATTCCTTTTCTTTTCCAATAGGTGACTTGCTTCCAGTTATGTGTGAGAGAGCAGGATTTCCACAAGAAACTAACCTTATCCTCTATGAGGTTTGGATTGATAGACTTTTTGTAATATTTTTGTCTTTTACATGCTACAACAAGAGAGAAAGAAGCTTTATTGGTTAAAAAAAAGGTTGTTCATAACAATGGTAATTTATAAATCATAAGCACTCTGTAACTTGTAGCTTTGAAGTCTACAGTGTTGCAAGAGAGTAGCAGCAGATAGTTAATATCAAAACAGATTTAAAATTAAACAACTAGAAGTGTGAGGCTTTGAAAACAAAAAATCTCTATATGAAGTTCTACGTGAGCAGCTTTGCTGTACTAAATCTGTGCATATCCTCTGAGTCACAGTGTTAGAGGAGTTAATGCTGCTAACATTACTGGCCGTTGTATTTTCAGCGCCCTGCTTAGACAATGGAGTTGAGAAAATGATGCAGCTTCTGCTTCCTTGCCTAAGTTAGAAGTCAGCAAACAAAATACTTAGTCTGCTAACATGTTTCTGCCCAAATACGGAAATAGAAATTCTTTATAACTGCTGTATTTCTTGAGTGCTGAAGATGCAGATCCTGCCAAGGCGAAGTCCTTGCTATAGTAAGAACAAGGAATTTTTTTTTTTTTAATTATGTTTCTTGTTAGCAGTCGTACTGCTCTCTCTGGTGGTTCCAAAAGAGCACGCACACTTCCATCCTAAAAAGCATAACTGTCAGGTACTCCTACTCTCTGCGGGTCAGGGCTGGAGTTTGATTCCAGCTTGTTTAGACAGATGCTTTTATCCCAAGAGGTCATCCTACAGGTTGGTAGGTTGATGACATAATATGTCTATAGATATTTTATAATATATACACTTTTATTATGCTTTGTTATTTTTTTTTAAAAAAAGACAAATGAATTGCTGTACAAAAGTTCCGCACTACTAAAATAAGTGAGCATAATCAGTGTTCTCCAAGCTTCCTGGAAGCTGCATCAGTAGAAAATTAATCTCTGAATTTCGGAAAAATTTCAGTGGCGACAAGATAATGCTGAAAAATACTTTTGAAAATTAAGATAACTTGAGTGAGACTTCAAAGGTAAAAATGAGTAGCCAGCTTTATCCATAGCAATTAGATGTATCTGGACCTTAGCTAAGGTTACATTTAATTTGCATATATCTCTCCCTTTCCATTGGTTTCAGTGGAAAGAAGATAAAAGTACCTTATCTGATGATTTCTTCACTATTGTGATCTTTATTTTTGCCTTCTGTTTGTTCTGTGATCAACAATTTATGTTCTTTATTGCAGGAAGTTAAACCCAATTTAACAGAAAGGATTCAAGACTATGATGTCTCTCTTGATAAAGCTCTTGATGAACTCATGGATGGCGACATCATAGTGTTTCAGAAGTACGTATTTTAAGGGGCCACCTTACCATTGCAATTAAATCACTTGGTTCACTTTGAAAGCAGAACTTCCTTTAACTTAGCGTTTTGAACAAGAGCAAAGTATAATTTTTCCAGCAGTAGACATGTTCTCAGCAGTTCTCATTTGTTTATTCAAAGGGGAAATAAAAAAGTATTTGTAGTATTTTAATTATCACATGCCACATTATTTAAGGAAAAGAAGGTTTCATCCTAGTTTAGAAAACTAATAACCTAGAATAGGTCTTAATATTACCAAAGAGTGTGGTTCAGCAATGCGTCTGAGTTCTGCAGCTTTTACTTGGAGCCACTGTAACTTAGACAGTGAAGAGCCTACCAGCATTTCAGATCTTTGGGTCAGTACCATTACCACTGTACAAGACTCTTGGCTTTGAGCTCCATTCAGCCTAGAACTGAACTAAACTGCTTTCCCTTTTTTTTTTCTTTTTTTTTTTTTTTCCTTTTTTTCCCCGCTTTTACTCATGCTCACAGTAAGTTCCTTACGGGTCTGAGCATATGCAACTCATAGGTGTACTGGTGCTTCAACTGGAGTTTTCTCCAAGGCAAAAGGAGAACTCCTGCATCTTGTATCCATTAAAGGGCTCTTTCATAAGCTTGTCAGGGCTATAAATCAGCATTTCTATGCTCTCACTCCTGATGGTCACACCCAACTGTGTTGCTCTGTTTCTCTCCATGGGCTGACAGTGGGTGGAAGCCAGCTAGTCTATCTTCAGCACTCTTACCCCAGATTATGTGAGATGAATGTATTTCTCATGTCATGCCTTGGAACTCGCATTCCCTGTTGACCCAGTTGGTGTTATGCACTTTTGGCTGGCTGCTGACTCCTGGGTAAGTGCACAGCTTGTACCCTGGTGCTATTTCTCTGCTGAGAAGATAGGGGTACCGGTC